TTAGAAATAGGGGTAAAAAAGGAAACTATGTGATGGCAATGACAGAACTTTGTATATTTATTAACTTCATGATATATAAATTATACATCAATAAAACAATTTTTTTAAAAACTGTATTTCACCAACATCAGTTACAAATGCTCACTTCTCAAACTGGAAAAGTTTGTTTCTTTCTTAACCTAAATAAAAATTTACCTTAATGGGCTTAAAAATAAAATCTAATAGAGAAAAATGTGTCTTTTTTCCCTAAGTGAAACCAGAGCTGGAAAACAACCTCGAAAGTTTAAATCTCATCATGGCAAACACCTGCTGCATCCCAAATAAATAGAAATCCAAAATAAAAGAGAGGATTTTCAAATATTACTGTTCCATACTTTCTACTGAATTTGTATTTCATATGCTTTCTCATCTACTTCTCTGTATATTCCATATTCTAAAAAAATTTTTTTGAGTGCAACGCCAATGATGACCATCAAAATTTTTAAGAGATAGTAACTTTAACATTTAAATGAATGAACTTTTGACCAATTGAAGAGTAAAAGAGCGTGGCATCTTATTTGGGTTTCAGAAAAAAAACATTCTTTAAAAGAATACTATTGAAATATAAAAGCTTTATGGGGGATGAAATTTATCCTTTACACAATTCTTCTCCAATTATGACGATCTTGGTTTACATATGTATTTCTTGTACATATTTCTTGCAGGAACTAGTTGGTCTCAAAATTAGAAATTCTTAAACATAAAGAATGAAAAGTGATTCTTCAATGTATCATACCTATGTTGGGGGTGGTGGTGGAATTCAACCTGGTAGCTTAAGTATTCAAGGCATTCAGAGAATCAGAATCAAATATAGAAACAGGAAAAGCTGTTTGGTCAGCCTTATGCCCTCATTTTACATCCAAGGAACCAGAATCCTCGAAAGATCAAATTCCTTTACTTCCCTGTCTGATGCTCAACCCTTTCATGGTTCTCTACTCCAAAACAAAGCTTATGGATTTACAGATTGCTGTCTTCATACACAACTCATGATTTCAACCAGAAGGAACTGTGCTAATAACTGTTTAGATTCCTTCTAGACTATCCATAGAGAAAAACTTTAAAAACAACATTATTAGGCCACCAGAGCTCCCTCTACAAACATCAGTCATTTTGAAGTCAGCTCTTTTTTAACCATTTTTTGTCATTCTTACATGAGAATTTGATAAAAACAATGAACCCAGACCCTGAGGAAACAAAGTTCACAAGAGAGGTTTCAGAAGCTTAAGGTCCCCCAGGCAGAGACACTTCTGGATTGGACTATCAAATTTATCCAGCATTAAAAGAGATTATCCCATCTAATCAGCTAGAATAACCCAGCAATGAATAGAAGTTTCCCCAGAAGCACAAATTAACAGTTGGTGAGGTTTATACATTAAAGGACAAGAGACAGTAAATGATAAATATTTTTGCCATTAAAAGAAGTAAGTCTGCCATGATAACTTAAAGATTCACAATTTCTGAGATAAAGCAAAGCTTTTCCCTTGATAACAGGCCTGTTTTCTACCATTCAGTGAAAAGTAGATAGCTTGCTATGTTTTCCTTCGTTTTTGCCTGGTGTCAAAGGCAGCAGTTTCCCTTAGCCTAGATTTTTGTAACACTATTATTCACATGCTGCCCCTCCCCACCTTTCTCCTTCCTGCTGAGCTCTTGGCTCTTACTCATTTTGGATATTTTTTTTTAATTTTATTGTGATTTGGGTAAAAGTTTACAGAGAAAATTATTTCTTTACTAATGTGTTAACGAGTTTGTTTTAAGAATAGAGCTCAACACTTACTCTTTTTCTATTTTAAGAATGTTTTTGCTGTTTACAAACATTTGTTACATTTGAAATAAATAATTTTAGATAAATGAATAAAATCCTTAGACTAATTTTTCCATATTTCTTATATTTCAGTTTCTTTACCTGTACTACACAGATATCCCTTCCAAACTTTTAAAAACTGAGGTATTATGTATAACAAAATATTAAAACTTAGATATCTAATTCCATTAGTTTTAATGAGCATTACATTATGTTCATTTAAAAAAGGTATAACCTGCTTTAAATTCTGTTTGAAAGCAAGAGATAGTCTATACTCTTAGTATAGTACCTAAGATTATAGATCTTTCTAGACTAGAAAGTATAACTGTATAAATTAGTTTACTTATTCACGAGTTGTTCTGGGATGGCTGAGGGAGAAGGAAAGAGTACAGGATTAGAAACCATGAAGTAAGGAAGGTGTTACTCATATGGCTATGAGTGAGTTAGCCCATGAAAGTGGCTGTGAGACCAAAGAGGCATGATAAAAACAGGTATCACTGTGAAGGCCAGAGTAAATGGTATGGAAACAAGAGGAAGGGAAGGTGGTTGAGAAACTTACTTTACAAGGTGTTTGTCTAGAGTGGACGGATATGCAACAAAGGTTTATTCAATCATCCAACAAGTACTTAAACCAATTTTTCATTAGCATCACTTATTCATGGCATGAAGATGGAACCAAGTCAAAGCTGACCCTCCAGTGAGTTTACAAAGGCTGCAATCACACAGGAGATTACTCATCTTTCTCCCTTAAGAGATTGTTCTGATTCGCACCACCAGAAAGCTGTCACCTTCTGTTAGAAGTGCAACTCCCTACTGCCTATGACCCAAGAGCTCCCCAACTGGACACACAGTAAGTCAAACTCCCAGGCTCCTCAAAACCACAGCAGTTGTAGAAATTTACTGAAAAACTCAAGCAAGTTACCCCTGAGCTTTTACCTAGTTTCTTAAAGTAGCTTTATTTTGAAGTCATTGGGGTATATAACGAGATTTATTCTATTCTATACTAGTTCTCCAGGTTGTTATATCCCCCTAAAAATTCCATGTAAGATACAAATTGATTTCTGGACTTAACTTCCAGAAGGGTAAAAATGCTATCTTAAAAAAAGTTATGGCTTTGAATGATCTATTATGCTAAGTAATACCTATGGGGAACTTTGGTGGTCAATTCTTTGTGTTGCCAGGTAAGGCAGACAGTTCAAATGCACCAGCAGCAGTGAGGGAAAAAGATAGGTGATCTCTTCCTGTGCAATTTTACTCTGGAAGCTTGTTGGACAATGAGCTATAAGTCAGTTCCAACTTGATGGTAAAGAATAAGTAAGTGAATGTAATTAAATGAAGAATAAAATCTAATATTAATCCAAGCACCTATCAAAAATCCCTTCAGTTTTAATCTAGTAATGGTCAGGCACTGTGCTAAGAACTAGAAAAATAAATTTAAGGACTAAGCTAACAATAGCAAAAAAACCTTACTTCAATAAACACTAAATCAAACATCTAAATTAGCTAAGTAATTTATGAAAAATAAACTGCTCTATAACTACTTAAATTTTCTTAATTGATACCTTAAAAATTTTACCAAAAAGTAAACTAAATTTAAAACTAAAATAGTAAAACACAACTAGATTTAGCCCTTTCTGAAAAAGTATTATTTAAAATAAAATATTGTCTTAGAGGTTGTGGTGTATTTATAAACTTTATTTTCAGCCAAGTATAGACCTTTTAGCAATCCAAAACAGATTTCAATTACTTAAGAGTGGGCGACTACCTATGTTTAAAAAGATATAACTTCATTTTATGCCTAAATTTATGGGGGAAGTAAGATTAATTAATAACTGCCAAAAAAATTCCTTGAATTATTCTTAGGTGGAGGTTAATTTAAAAATTGAAAGAATTCTAAAATATTAATTTCACAGGAAAAGGAGAGACTGTAAGAAAATTTGCTTTTTAAACTACAGAGGCCCAGAATTACAACTACAATCATACAAGTTAAATGAAATTCATTCTCAGTAGCATAAATTAAGATAAACAAGGCAAGAATAGAACTTCTAGTACTTCAGTCAACTCTTTTTTTTATATATCTAATGGTTAAATCTCTCTCCTTTACAGTCATGAACTCATATTAATTAACTACATGAAAATTTTTTTTTAAAAAAAAGTATATCTCAAACACAAAAGCAACTGATGAATAGGTTTAAAATGGCTTTTAAAAATTAAGAACCCATTACAACAGAAACAAGTCTCCCTGAGAGGTGGCCAGTATCCCAGAAGCATTTCAAAATAAAAAAGTTTTTCCTCAGCAGACAGCTCAGCTGAAAAGTGACCGACCTTTTGCCTACCAGCCAGCTAGGTATGTTCCTGGCAGGCACACTATCAGATTAAAGGAACTGCAAATAAACTGGGCTGAAACCATTCTTTGTGCAAGCCCTGCCTCTTCTTCCTGTGATGTCACATTACAAATCTCGCAAGCCTTTTCTTTTTCACTTCAGAGAAAGCCCATCACACAATACATCTGGCAACCAAGGAAAAGGCCTCGGTTCAGCAAGCGTGAACACGTTGAGGAATTCATCTCGGAAAGCTTAAAAGACACTTCTGTTTACTCCCATCTGGGATCCACCACTGGAACAGCAAATAAGAAAACTTCACTTCGAGGAACAAGAAGTAAAGGAGAGCATTAAACGTTGGGAATGTTTAAGTCTCTGAAACTTTGCACTGGAAAGCAAAGTAAGACTGATAACTTCATCTTAAACATTCAAGAACTTAAAGCAACTTTCCTTTTGGAATAATCCCCCTGACGACGGAAATGCAATTTTACAATGCAACTTGCTTTACTGCCATCTCGGAATAAAGCTTTCCTTTAATGCTGGGTTGGCTTTCTTGACTGCTTTTTTCCAAAGTTGCTCATCAGTTAACCCAGCTCTGGATTCAAGGATTCTCTGGGGATTAGAAGATGAGAGTGTTTTCCCACTGAAGAACTTCGTGGAAACCTTACTGCAACTAATCTGATGTTTCTTTTGGCGATTTCATTGAAAAAGGAAATATTTATAAAGCCACCCAAAGAGCCAAAGAATTTGCAAATGAGTCACAGGTTATAAAGTGGTCATAAAGTCTGAATGCCAAAGAAGACTGCAGCTGAGGCCGGGAGTTCAGCCCTGTGAACTGGAAGTGCTTTTATAATGGTAAGCATTAACAGCTCCAACTGCTCCTATGATGACTCCTTTAAGTATACTTTGTATGGATGCATGTTTAGTATGGTGTTTGTGCTGGGATTATTATCCAATTGCGTGGCCATATACATTTTCATCTGCACGCTCAAGGTTCGAAATGAAACCACAACTTACATGATTAACTTGGCCATGTCAGACTTGCTCTTTGTTTTCACGTTACCTTTCAGGATTTTTTACTTCACAACCCAGAATTGGCCCTTTGGAGATACACTGTGTAAGATTTCAGTGATGCTGTTTTATACCAACATGTATGGAAGTATTCTGTTCTTAACCTGTATTAGTGTGGATCGGTTTCTGGCAATCCTCTATCCCTTTAAGTCAAAGACTCTCAGGACCAAACAAAATGCGAAAATTGTTTGCATTATTGTGTGGTTAACTGTGTTGGGAGGAAGTGCTCCTGCAGTTTTTTTCCAGTCTACTCATTCTCAGCCAAACAATACCTCAGAAACCTGCTTTGAAAAATTTCCAGAAGACACATGGAAAACGTATCTCTCAAGGATTGTCATTTTCATTGAAATAGTGGGATTTTTTATTCCTCTGGTTTTAAATGTAACCTGTTCAAGTTTGGTGCTAAGAACTTTAAATAAGCCTGTTACTCTAAGTCGAAGCCAAATAAACAAAACTAAGATCTTGAGGATGATTTTTGTACATTTGGTCATCTTCTGTTTCTGTTTTGTGCCCTACAATATCAACCTTATTCTGTATTCTCTGATGCGGACACAAACGTTTGTTAACTGCTCTGTGGTGGCAGCAGTGAGGACAATGTACCCTATCACTCTGTGCATTGCTGTTACAAACTGCTGTTTTGACCCTATCATTTACTACTTTACATCAGACACAATTCAGAACTCAATAAAAATGAAAAACTGGTCTGTCAGGAGAAGCGACTCCAGGTTCTCCGAAGCTCCAGGCACAGAGAACTTTGTGCAGCACCAAATACAGACCTTCAAAACAACGATCTTGGACAGTGACTCCACGGTATAAGCTGCTTGAAGTATAAGCTGCTTGAAAGACCAGTACTGAGACTTCAGTCAAGCCACCCACAAGCCACTTCAACTGTGAATGTGTTCTCTTGGACTGTTTTTCCACTTCCAAAAGAAGATGAAAACATGGACATATTAAAGTTTCTAGTGTATGAAAAGTTATATTCTGTGTGTTAGGTATTAAAATATTATTTCTTTCTGTGTATACTCCATTTTATCTTTCTGAGCCATTTTGACTTGTGCCTTCCTCTCCATTAAAAAAAAATCCCTAAGTTGTTTAAAATTGAAAAGTGACTATGATTTCAATCATCTTGTAACCATCTGTATTGTCTATTAGTTTCTTAGTATACTGGATGATTTGCATATAATAGATGTCCCAATTTAAATATTTAACATATTTATTCAACATACATCTAATTTCTATTTACATTTGAATTAAAACTACAAATGATGTGTCTGATTATACTATATATGAAAATGGAGAGTAATTTTGAAACAAATTTTTTAAGTATTTTGCTGAAAATATCATTTTCTATAGGATGAGGACATGCTAACACTGAGGCTCAGGGCCCTTCCTCTCATATTTAGGGGGTTTGCCTTAGTGGGCAATTTCTAAGATGCAGATGCTAAAAAAACCATAAATTAAAAATGCAGATGCTATCTAGTTATATAATGCAACTTAAAACTGGGAAAAATGTATAATGACAGTTTCAAAAGGATTCATGCTATAAAAAATTTAAAAAGAAAAAAAAACTAATGTACTTTTGCTCTTTTGCTAAGAAGAGAAAAGAATAAAACATTTCTAAAGATACATTTTTAAATATAAATTTAAGTCATAACAAAGGACTTGGATCCTAAGTATTTTAATTCAGAGAAACGGCAAGAAACAGTAATGAGTGGCTTTTTTTAAAGTTAGTAACAAGAGTGATAGTATTTAGTGCTTAGAAAGTGGCATAGATGGATAGCTAAAATACTTCCCTTTCCTGATAAGTCTGAGGCAGTGACTACCTGAAATACACTGTTGTTGTTTGTTGTTATGTGCTGTCGAGTCGTTTGCGACTCATAGCGACCCTAAGTACAACAGCCCTAAACCCTGCTCTATCCTGTGCCAATCACATGGCCTCTGACACACCCATCCTGATTACCCCAGTCACTGAATCAATCCACCTCATAGAGGGTCTTCCCCTCCTGCGCTGTCCCTCTACCCTACCAAGCATGATGTCCCTCTCCAAGGACCTGTCTCTCCTTACAACATGTCCAAAGTATGTCAGATGAAGCCCCAGAATCCTTGCCTCCAAGGAGTAGCCTGGTTTAACCCTCTCTAGGATGGATCTGTTTGTTTTCTTGGCAGTCCATGGAACATTCAATACTCTTCTCCAGCACCACAGCTCAAAGGCGTCAATTCTCCTATCCTCCCTAGTTATTGTCCAACTCTCTGATGCATAACAAGTGATTGCAAAGACCATGGCTTGTATCAGGTGCACCTTAGTCTCCAGAGAGACACCGTTGTTATTGTAAAATTATGACATCTCAAAATAAATTTTTAAAATTTTCCTTATCTAACTTCACTTCTCTGAAGTTACATAAAAAGCTGCAAAATGAAATAACTTGATGTAACCACACTTCCGTTTCCTAAAAAAAGCGAGAATTCAAATATGAATACAAATAACTACCCTAAAATTTCACCTTCCAACATGTCTTAAAAAATTTTTTTAAATCTGACAAATCAACTAAGAATGTTTTCTGTTTCAGAAAAGGGACATGAAATTTGGTGGTTCTGCACTGTGCCAAAAAACTCTGGTGCACGGGTGTCCACAGAGGGTTGGAATGATAATCCCAAAGTTGCTCCTGTCTGGTGGGTGGAATCTTCCAGCTCCTCATTGGGGTGTGCGCCATTGGAAATCAATGGAAGGTCCCTACGAGTCAGAATCCAGTGCTGGCAGGGAGTGAGGACAGCACTCTGTCCTATTTAGCATTCAGTATCTGACTTACATTGTCTTAATCTTTCAAGTCCTAAATGCAAGTTTGGACAAACATGCTTCTGGTTTAAATTTGAATTTTGCTTTCTCTTGAGCTTTTGCTATCCCTGAGTTTTTCTGTCATTTAAAAAAATTAGTTATTTACTCGGAGTTTTCTTTAAGGAATTTTGAGTTCTTTATTTTTTAAAAGGCAAATATAAAGTAAAGTAAATCCTTTTAAGCAGTAAAGTAGATCCTTTTAAGCTCACACACTAGTAAACAGTCCTTTATAGCTCAACAAAAATGTATATACTGTAAATATGTTTTTTCAGTTCATTCTGAAGCCCCTTTGAGATCACAATATATATGTATATACATGTGTATATATATATGTATACACACACACACACACACCCCCCTACATATATTTATTTATTTAGTATCCTTAGACTTTTTCTTTTCCTTTAAATTGACAAGCAACTAACAACTTACTGATCTAGAAGAAAGGAGCAGAAATGTGTAAACTTTCTTCCTTTGAGATTGATCAGAACTTTCCTGGATTTAAAGGAGGTGTCAAACTAAAGACATTGTCAAAACATAAAAGTTACTTAAAAATACAAACAAAATAGTTACATAGTTGAGACATAGTTATCCCTACTGAAATGACTGGAGTGTTTGGTTGCCCCCCTGATAACAGGAAGATAAAGGAGTTGAAAGGTTTTCAAGATCCTTCCAAGCAATACATAACAAGCAATAAATACTAGCTTTCTCATTTAGAATTTTAAGTCCTGGGTAAATATTACTAACATGGACAATAAAAAAAATATCAGAACAAAATTGAAAAGTTGTTTTCTACTGTTAAGTGTTGTAATTTGAAGAGATCTATTGCAGAGGTTTTCTCTTTATTCAGAAAACCTACAATAATATTCCATCTTAAGAACTCATTTTCATGACCTTACCAAGCATTTTCTTCAACAAAACTGTGCCCTTTACACAGGTAATTTAACTAACCTTCCATCCCAAATAACTCTTGAAAGGAGTAAAGTAAGACAAGAATGATTTTCAGGTATGAGAAACAGCTTTCTAGAAACACTTAGGTGGTTAATTGTTGAAATACTAACCAAAAAGACCTAACCAGGTATGTCTTGAAAGAAAGATAGGATGATACGTTTCTAGACAGCCCAGTACATTCTGAACATAAACACAAATGGCCATGTGCTATAAATTGCTCACTGGCAACTAATGACAAAACCAACATCCCAGAGATTGATTCTAAACTCAGCAATTATCTTTTCTAATAAAAACAATCAAGTAACTAGTTTACCTAAAAATACTTAAAAATATCCATGTTCTATTTAATACATCCATAGAAAAGGAATAAAAGCTACTGTTTCATCACACAATTATTACCTGATGTTAATATTCTAAATTAAAAATACTGAATGCAAATTTGAGGTAGAAAATCTAACTATAGATACTAGGTTTTTAAAGAGATTAGCCCTTCAGTTGAAGAATATAAGAGAGAAAATGAAACGTCAGCATATCCCAACCAGACACTTGATTTATGAATGTGGCTACCCTGAGTGTGCAGCCACTGCTATTTGGTTCTGTAATCTTAACTCCGTGTGTGGTAACTGTGCTAACCCATAACTTATCGTTCCTACAAGTACCCACCAGCTCCCAACAGCTAAATTATTTTGTGGTGCCTCCGTGCCAATCTCTCCCCAGATGTCACAAGTGAGTGAGAATGTGACTGGATGCTCTTAGTTAGACTGTAACTAAATTTTGAAATAGAGCCAATTTTATAAACAGTGTTAAGGCTTGTCTTAAATCTTAAGATAAGCTGTGCATTTAAAAATTTCATTTGGACTGGCCTGGCAATGGAATTGCCATGAGTTCCAAGAAATATGCTCTAATTTTAAAAGGACTACTGAATAAACTGAAGGGCAAAAAGCATTTACATTGACAAGAGTATTTGACAGTCAACAATTTTAGCGACATTTTCAAAAGATGATGCGTGCATACTCCTTCATCTTCCCCTTGATGCTTGTTCCTCATTTTCCTCTTTTCACTGTGTAACACGCCACCAGAGCTCCCTGTTCCCCAACTCCTAAGAGTTTTAAGAATGTATAAACAATCTCAGTGATACAAGGTAACTCAGAGCACAATAGTAAAAATAGAAGAAAGTAACTCAAAGAAAGCTTTCTCTATGCTTACTCTCTTAATAAGAATCCTTCAGTAATCTAGCTAAAGGGTAAAAATTCTCTGCTTCATTACTGGAAAGCAGCCCTTAAAACCAGAAATCAAGAAACAAGATCCCAGAGGTTGGAAAAGCCCATGAATAATCATTCTTATTAAATTCAGAATTTGCTCTACTCATAATTCAAATACTACAAATTATTTTTAATAAATAAATATTTTCATAAGAATGAAGTGGGAGGCATAGCACTCCCTGATCTCAAAACCTACTCCACAGCTGTAATGAGCGAAACAGCATGGCATTGGTACAATGACTGACACTTAGACCAATGGAATAGAATCAAGGACCCAGAAATCAGTGAATCTATGTACAGTCTGCTCACTATAATCAAATGACTAGGAAACAAAACTTATCCAATGGAAAAATGAAAACGTCTTTAACAAATGGTGCTGGCAAAACAGGACATCTGCGTGCAGAAAACTGAAACAGAACCCACATCTCACGTCACCCACATCTGATGGTGGATCAGAGACATGAGGTAAAACATAAGGATCATAAGAGACAAAATGGGATCAAATTTAGAAGCCCAATCCTGTGGCATAAACAGGCTTGCAAATATAGCCAGAAATGCATAACCAAGAGAGGATGAAATAGAAAAATGGGGCCTTCTAAAACTTAAGTCCCTGTATGCATTAAAGACTTTTTCCAACAAGGTGAAAAGACAACCTACAGACCAGGAAAAAACATTTGGCAATGGCACTTCAGATGGGGGTCTAATAAAAAAAAGTTTATAGGCTCCTACAGGGCCTCTACAAAAAAAGACTTATAACCTAATAGCAAAGTAGACAAAAGA